ACCAGCTGTTGGTTTTGTTGTGAGCCGGTGCTTTTATGCGCTGTTACCTACTGGGCCGATGTCCGCGGTCAGAGGGGGGAAAAAAGCCATTTGTTTCCGGCTTAAGCAAACTGGTCCAGAGAGCTGTTATCGTGCTCCGTTACCGCCAGGGAAACCGAAATTGTGGAGGCCTTAGACATTTCAAAATTCTACGGGAAGGGTTTTTAACCTGCGCAGGGATAGGGGTTTTCGACAGTACAGCTGACGGCCCCCGGGCTGTGTTATCTTCCCTCCCCTAGCCAGGTCAGCTCTCCATCATTAATTGCTTCTCCCTCTCCAAGTTAACCCACCCGACAACCACCCCCGCCCCCAGCCCCTCCTCGCCTCCAGGGCTCCCGCGCTCCGCCCATCCCACTCTAGTCCCCCCTCTCCCTCTTCTTCCCTTCCGGCCAGACTCTCATTGATCTTCCCTGCCCCCTTCTTCCTTTTCCCTCTCACTGTTCCTCCCCTATTTCCCCTCGCTCTCCACCCCAGCCCACCACGCTTTCAGCCTTTTTCTCTGCGCTCAGATTTGTGCTCCCACTGCAATCGCAGCCTCCTCACTCCGAGAGAGACTTCGGGCGGGAGGTGCAGCGGCGCCGACTGCGCGCAGGCGCACTGGGCGGCGAGCGCGCTGCGTCCGCGCAGGCGCGCGCTGCTTGGGCTTTGCTCCCGCGCGGGCGCCAGGCTTTCGTAGACTCGCTCAGTCAGGGCTTGGGGCCCCGCGGCCAAGGCGTCGTGGTCGTTGTCGTCGTCGTCGTCATGTTTCTTCACTCGGTCAACCTCTGGAACCTGGCGTTTTATGCCTTTATGGTCTTCATGGCGACTCTAGGGCTGTGGGACGTCTTCTTCGACTTCGAAGAGAACAAGTGCAGTATGAGCTACATGTTTGAGTACCCGGAGTATCAGGTGAGTTTCCTCCCTCTCTTTACCTGGGCGCTCCGAGAGTCGGGCCCCTCCTGCCCGGCCCTCCTGTGGGTTTCCCCTGCTTTGGCTCTCCGCGCTTTTCCGACGTCCTCATCCCATACTCACCTCTGTTTTCCCCGCCCCGGAAGACTCTGCAGAACCCCACTATCCCGCCCCCCTTACCTGCCCTTTGTGTCCTTTATTCACGGTGGATGGTTTCCTAGATGGTTTCCCGTGCATCCTCCCAGCCCCACTCGCAGTTGCTCCCCTGTCCTTCCGCCCTCTTCGCGATCCCAAATGCAAGCACCGGCTCTTCTAACTGGCCCCCGTCCAACCTCTTTCATCCCCAGAGACGCAATCTCAGCCCCTCACCCTAAACCCAAACCCCATCTTCCTCGCGTACCTGCCTTCACAGGTCCCCCTGGACCTTCCTTTCCTTAATTCTTCCCCTCTTTCCCAGTGGTTTACGTGTCGGCTCTCGCTTTTCCAGAAAGAGATCTAGCTTCTGCAGAGTGAATTGGCTAGATAGTTCCCAGAGCTGCCTTAGAGACTCCAGGCTTTTACCTCTCTGTGAAAGGCTAAGCTGATGAGTAATTAAATGGAAAGCTATTGAGGTTCCCTCCTGTAAAGATTTTGCGGAGCTTCTTGTTTTGTAGGTTGTGGATCCGTACATGTGCATACATGCCAGTGTTTATGCATGTCGCCTCTTAACCAGTTGCATACGAAATCTATTTCACGGTGTTATTTTTGTTTTCTCACTGTTTGCTATTTAAGAGAGACCCGGACCTTCTTTCTCCCTCTCTTTCTCTCTCCCTCTCTTCCTTTCTCTCTCTCCGCCCCCACCCTCTTCCGTTCCATTTTGAACATTTTCAATCTCGATTGCTTCTTCAGTTCAGCATAGTAGAATCTAGAGTTTCATTCATGACCAGCTGTAAAAAGAGGTTGTGACAGATTACACAACTATGAAAATAAATTTCTCCCGAATGGTTCATTTATTTCTAAACGCATCTCTTAATTACGGAATACATATTATAATAACCCCCTTCTATAAAATGTTTATGTACTCTAATGTATGTTAATAAAATGCATTTTTAGTATACTTTTAAAACGATAGCAAATTTTTTTCTTTAAGGTGAAGGTTGCCGATTGTGATTGCTTCTATGTACAGGTCATTATGGAGGATCATATTTGATTATTATGCTGCTTTTATTTAGACCTTAAAACTACTTAAGGTAGTAGTTTTAAGGATGACAAGCATCCTTTCCCATGGATAAAATTCTAGTTCAGATTTCATTTGTTTTGAGATCCTTACCTTAATTTTGCATCAGTGATTATAAGGGAGTGGAAGCATTTGCTGTCAGATGCTATTGAAAATTTTAACATGTTACTGTTGTCTCTTAATTTCTAAGTGGATATGCAGGATTATGTTTATCAGGGACTATGTATAGTTAAATACTTGGACTTTTAGTTTAGATTTTTAAAAACTGAAAATAGAGCCCTTATAATCTCCTTTGATTTTTCTATGGTTTAATAATTAGGAAACTCCCAATAGGTTGAAGTAGGTTACTTTAGTTTTATACTGCATTGAAGAGTTTGGGTAAAATAAAATTATTTTGGAACAGTATGGTACTAATTCTCATTTATTTTTAGATTGCCCACAGTTACTGAAGCTATTTTAATATTTGCAATAGTAGAACTTGCCTAGTATTGGGAACAAAGCAGATGGACTGCACAGATGCATTTCATGCATCATAAAATTGACTGAGAAGACACAAAATTAGTGTAGCTAATGCAAAAGAGCTATTTTGCTTTTTTTGTTGATGCGTCAGTATTTAGTTGTTTTGATTCACTTTCGCCCTTTGAGGTTTTACATTCAGTCCATAATTGGTTAGTACAGTAGTAATTACAGTGGCAAGAGTTTTTGATCCACACTTTATGGTAAATTTTTATTTTATTATATAAAAAGCTGTGTTAATTCAGTATTATATTTATATTTGACTCAGTCCTCTTATTGTGCGCACCTCTATATAAAAAGCTGTGTTAATTCAGTATTATATTTATATTTGACTCAGTCCTCTTATAGGTTGTGTTATTTTACGAATAAAATAATTATTTGTAATTATTTTACAAATAATTAAGAACCATGGTTTTTAATGATAAGTGTTCTAAATATATTTTATATATTGGTTACTTTTAATATATTTTAAAGTGAGGTCGCTAATTGTTCACAGGATGGTATCCAGCAGATGGAATGTTCTAATTGTTGGGTTTTCTTCTCTTTCTTGACGCCTTTCTTTTTTACTGCTCATTTGCATATTCTTTAGCCGAATTTTAGAGAAAATGAACAATATTTGAAACACACTTAATTTTATTCTTCATTTTTAAAAAAAAGGTGAGACAGGAATTTAAAACTCTTTGTAAAAATGAAGTTTTGAACTCAAAATTGTTTATTCTCTACTTTTAGTTTTTGTAGATTCACTTATTGAGAGTTAACTGAACATCTCACAGAGGTGGCAAAATACACATTATCCTTTAAAGCTTCTTCCTTAGACAGCAAAGCAAAGCTTTCATATGGTAGCAGTTTTAGGCAAATCGTAGAAATAAAAAAAAAAAATCTATATTGTTTTCTCCCATATAGTAATTTGTTTGCCTGTCTTCAGACATGGGATGTAACAGTTATTCTTTGTAAAGAAATGTTGATATTGGAAAATATGAATCATATATTTTGTTAAGTCTGATGTTTATTTAGCAAATCATTTATTGAATGACTACTCTGTCAGGTATGAGTGAGAGGGAATTGGAGATGAATCAGAACTTAGGCCTTTAATATATGTCTTTATAATACAATGGGGGGAGACAGAAATGTAATAGTTAAATCTAAGTGTTATAATTTCACTGTTAGAAAGTGTGTACAGGGCTCTTTATAGAAGAGAGCATTCCAGTCATCTTAGGTAGTCAAAGGCTACAGAAAAGGGGCAGTGAATTGGGTGATGTGCAGAAACAAGAAAATTGCAGGAATAAAGAATAGCATTTGTAAAGGTAGGAAGCATATGTATAAGTAGTGAGCAAAAGCAGTATGTATAGTATGTTACCATTTATGTAAAAAGGAGAAAATAACCTATAAACATATTTGCTTATATATAAGTAAAATATTTCTGGAGGCACAAACTGCTAACTTTGGTTGCCTTCTGGATAGGAAACTGGATGGCTAAAGGACAATGGATATAAAAGAGCCTTTTCAATGCAATGAATCTTGAATTTTGAAGCATATTAAAAATAAATTTTAAAACATAGCATATCTAAGTTATAAGAAAGTGAGTAAGAATAATTAGAGCCAGTTTTTGAAGGACCTCTCCCTTAAACCATTATCAGCTATCTATTGCAGTGAGGAAACACATAAGATGTGTCTGTTTTAACAGGGTATTTCTTGACAGCAGTATGGACAATGGATTGATTCTAGCAAGGAGATTATGATAGGGAGAGAGACAGGTCCGAAAGATTCAGTTGTCCCTAGGTCTTTTTTATCAAGCTGGAGTCCTCTGGAGTATCCTTAAGGGTGAGATGGGCAAGGGACTGAGAGAGCTGTTTGTAAGGGCTTTAAAACTATGTTCCTTTTGATCAAAATCCTTTTTTTTTTTTTTTGTTAATTATGGAACTCAAATTTTTGTTTTAATTCGTAATTGAATTATATATCTCATAAAATAAAGAATTTAGTTTCTTCAGTCAGTATTTTTCTAGCACTTGAGAATTTGTTAGAATTTTTGTCTTTTGAAGGGGGTCTGGGTTAGAGATGAGAAGAACCTGTACTCTGGCAGAGCAGAGTCAAGAGGACACACAGCGCGGCCAGGATTGTGGAGATAATATTTAAGTGTAAAAATAATTGATCTTAATTAAAGTTCTTTTTGTGGGGTAGAGTACTCATTTAAACGATCTATGTAAAATAATCAGGTTAAAATACATTGGAATCCTGTTGCTATAAATGTTTTCTTTTCAAATCCCTTGAGTTGCTTCTGTTTTTTTTCATCAGCATCCTTTTTGTATGCCTATACCTACCTTTTCTGTCCTCAATCTGGTCAAAACCCTGTTTCTTCCTACCATTCATTACCAACTTGAACTCCGTCTGGAAATGCAAGTTTTTCCATTTGCCTACAAATCCTGCTTTTTTTTCATTCTCCCTCTTTTTCATTACTGTGCTTTTTTTTCTACTTCATTTGTATGCATTCATAGTTATAAAAATGTACACTTTCTCACTAAAAATTGCTTTCATAATAGTATATTATGAAATATGTCAAATATAGTCTTTTGCTTATTTTTCTGTCTCCAGAGAATTAAATATTTCTTTTTTGATATATTTGATAGTTTCCTGTTCTTCTGAGTTAATTAACTAATTCAGAACTTTGTTTAGCTACAATTTTAAAAAGAATAATAATCTAATATGCATGTACTGTTATATCAAATGGTACATTCATTTGGGAAGAATTAAGATAAGTGTTTTTTTTTTTTGTTCTCTCGTTTTCATTTTTCTTAATTTCTACCTAAAGAGACAAAATAGTGTATCACTTTCAATTTTGATGATATACAGTGCATAACCAATATCAGGACTAATCTGAGTTGAAGTACATGTACACATATAAAACAAATAGTGGGGTTGGTATTTCTCTATTTTGAATATTTGAGGAGATAAAAAGTTGCTAGTATCTTAAACAATAAGCTCACACTCTAAAGATGTTCTCATGGTGTTATTGGCACAGGTTGTGGTAATATCCTCAGGAATATTCAGGAATGTGCATGAATAATCAGAATTCTGCTTTTTACAACAGGTTTTTCAGTAGTCATCACTGTTTACAGTTTTTAAAATTCATTCAGTAGTTGAAATTTTTATCAAGCACGTGTGTAACACTGCTAGATCATTAAATCTACTGATGTTTACTTAAAATCTGCTGTTCAGTATAACTGGGTTCATTTTTAATGGTTTCTATCATAAAAGAAAAAGCGGAAGAAGAGTTTACACATAACTACCACTTTTGTAGATGCCTACCTTTTGAGGATTAAAACTTAATTTATATTTTGATGAGAAAACTTTTTTAAAATTAAAACTTAATTTATATTTTGATGAGAAAACTTTTTTATGAATTACTGGCTCATTTGGTATACAGTAATATGAATTGCAGAGTATTTTAAGGCTTGCTGACAAACAATGCACCTAGTCTGTGAAAACTGAAACAGATGCTAATTCATTGAAATGTTTATGGTGAGAAGAGTGTACATGTCTTGACCACGACATGGCTATAGGTTCACATTAGTCAAGCACATTGTAGGTCAAAGCCTATTAAGTTGAGAGGTCAGAAAGCTGCATTATAAAAAGAACTTACATTTTTGTTGAATGATGTAACAGCTGGAATATATAGTTGGGCCTGAGTAAAAGCAGAGATATTGCAAAACAGTTTATAATAGCAAAAAAGATAAATTGATTTGATAATGGAAAGCTTTTATCATTTCTAAGTATAATTGATATTGATACTAAAATGCATTTCCAAACATGTTAACATGTAACTTGCTGACATCTACCAGTGTTTTTCTGTTGTCAGTGGCTATTTGGGGTAATTAGTATTCATTAGAATTTCAGATAGTCCCATTTTATGATTTCCTGAAGACCACATGGTTCAGAACTGACATACTTCAAGACTAATTCTCCATATGAATAAACTAAAAGTAGAATTTGTTTTGTGCATTAAGTGCAGTTTTATCAGTAATATTTTTATATAGTACTATTTCAAATTTGTACAATTCAAAAATTGGGTACAGTGAGGCTAAATCATTTAATAAAATTGATTAAAGTGAAATTGTATAATTTAAAAAATCTATTTATCTATTTATTGCTGTAGAAAATAGAACTTCCAAAGAAACTGGCAAAACGCTATCCTGCATATGAATTGTATCTTTATGGAGAAGGATCCTATGCTGAAGAACACAAAATACTTCCTTTAACGGGTATTCCAGTTCTCTTTCTTCCTGGTAATGCTGGAAGTTATAAGCAAGGTAAGTTTCAGAAGTGAATTTTGAAAGCTATAAAATTCAGTTGAATTTATCAGATACATATCTGTGTTAAGTACTGTGCTAGGTATATTGGGAGACGCAAATATGTGACATTTTGTCTGAGAGAAATGCATGTGAGAAGTACAAAGAATAGAATAGTTGAAGACCATTTTGCAAAGAGTAAGGAGAAAAAAAATGGAGTGGGGTGGGATAAATAGATGCTATAGGGATGTAGGAATCAGCAGAAGAAAAAGGCTTATCTTGTAAATGAAGGTTACAGAGAACAGAATCTGAAGCATTGATTAGAAAAGTAAACAGTAGTTTATGTTATGCTGAGCAGGAAAGGGGATTGGTTTCTTTCTTCCTTTTTTTTTTTTCTGGAGCTTTTTAAGTTAGATCTAGAAATACTGAGGACATAAAAGTGAGGGTAGGGAAGTTATATATATAGATTCCAAATTGAATGTTGGCTTGGAGATACAGCAGTTATTTCTCTCATAGCAATCAAATAATCTGGAAGTAATTGCAGCTAAAATCTGCTTTTTTGGTTGTTAAATGGTATATTCTTTTATATAATGAAAATAGAATTAGTTCAACATTTAGTATAATTATTTACCTGTTTATTTATCTAGCTTGTATTTGTGGGGTATCTACCATGAACTAGGCAGTATTCTAGGTATTAGGAATCTAAAAGAGACCAAGACAGATAAAGTCCCTCTCTTTCTTGTTGGGAAGACATATATCAAACACATATGTCAGTAACATTAAAAGTTTGAAAGAAAAATAAACCAGAATAAGGGATAGAGGATAAATAGGGTCAGAAAGTGGCTTGGTGGAGGAAGCGGCCTAGAAAGGCCACTGTGAGGTGATGACATTTGACCAGAGGCTTGAATATAGCAAGGGACTACTGAGGTATGTGACTCTTTGAGGGAAGACTCTGAGGCAGAAACATGCTTGGTGCATTCAAGGCCACTGAGACTAAAAGTGGAAAGAGATGAGGATGCAAAGGTAGCCACCAGCTATATTATATAAGCTGTAGAAAAGACTTTGAATTTTGATCTAAGTGTGTTGGGAAACTTTTGGAGGGTTTTAGGTAGGAAATGGTATAATCTGATTTTCTCGTTAATTATTACATTTGAAATATAACACATACAGAAAATGCATAGACGATAGATATTTGAGTAATGATTATTATAAAGTGAATACCAATGGAACCAAAACCCAAGTCAAGAAGTAGAAGATTGCCTTGAAAATCCCCTGTGTGCCCCTTCCTGGTTAAAACTTCTTTTTTTCTTGATATAACCACAGTTCTAACTTTAAGGTAGTAATTTCCTTGATTTTCTTTATAGTTTTAGCATCTAAATCTGTATCTCTAATACAGTCTGCTTATTTGGGGCTATTTTTGTATGAGTAGCGATTTGTTCATTTTCCTCACTCTATTATTGCATTGAATGACTACACCATAGTTTAAATATCTGTCTTTGGACATTTGTTTTGTTTACATTTATTGGCAATTTAAAATAACGGACTTTATAAAAATCTTGGAGTACATAAGCCTTTGCTTCTGTAAGATATATACCATAGGAGCATAATTTTATGTCACAGGTTATGTGTATCCTTTTATTTTTGCTGATTGTGCTAACTTATACTCCCAGAAGCAGTACATTGTACTTCTCTTTGCTCTTCATTCTTGATAACATTGGAATTGTCAGGTTTTTAAATTTTAACCAATCTAGTGGGTGTGATTTATTTTTTAAAAATGATCACTCTGGCTTTGTTGCATAGAGACTATATTGTGAAGATGCAAGTGTGGGAGTAGGAAAGATACTAAACATCACTAATCATCATGGAAATGCAAGTCAAAACCACAATGAGATAGCATTTCATGCCCGCTAGGGTAATTATAATCTAAAAGATAGATCTTCACAAGTGTTATTGAAGGTATAAAGAAATCGAAATCCTCATACATTGCTGGTGGGAATGTAAAGTGGTACAGCTACTTTGGAATACAGTTTGACAGTTCCTCAGAATATTAAATGTAGAGTTATATGACCCAACAGTTCTACTACTTGGTATCTACCCAAGAAAAATTAAAACGTACATCCATACAAAAACTTGTATACAAATGTTTATTGCAATGCTCTTCATAATAGCTGAAAGGTAGCAACAGCCCAAATGTTCATCAGCTAATGAATGGATGAATAAAATGTGATATATTCATATGATGGAATATTATTCAGCAATAAAAATGAATGAATTACTGATCCATGAATTACATACCTTGTAATTTGTCCAGACCACGGACAAACCTTGAAAACATCGTGATAACTAAAAGAACATGGTCATAAAAAACAACATATTATATGATCCCTTTTATGGAAATGTCCGGAATAGGCAAATCCATAAGGACAGAAAGTAGATTAGTGTTTTCCTAGAATTAGGAGGAGAAAAGGAATGAGGAGTGATTGTTAATGAGTACAGGGTTTTCTTTTAGGGGTAATGAAAAAAATATCTAAAGTTAGATTGCAAAAATGATTATACAGCTCTGTGAATACACTAAAAATAACTGAGTTGTACACTTTACATGATGGGTTGTATAGTATGTGAACTGTACATGTTTTAAAAAATGGAAGAGCAAACAGGTATTTGCTTGCTAAACCACACACTGCAACTTTTAATGCCAATTAATATAATTAGTTAATAAATTCTGTGAAAGGGTTATGAAGCAAAATCTAAAACAGTGCAAACAGGGAGACTAGTCAGGAAACAGTAGTACAGGCAAGAGATGGTGCTTAGATTAAGAAGGTAGTGGTAGGAATGGTGAGAATCCTCGATTGGGGAGATATTTAGAAGAGTGTATGACAGGATTTACACACGGATTGGATGTCATGTATAAGAAAAAGAGACAAGTCAAGCATGAGTACCTAAACCAAATGATGAGCAGACATTTTTTTGTAGGAATTTTCTCATTCTTAAAATACTCAAGAATTTTAAGTATAAAATTCTTATTTCTTATTCAAATAATCTTCCCTTTTGTTTATTATTGCCACTGCAGAAGGAGAAGCAGGTAGAGAATGAATGATCTGTTCATTTTTCATTTAAAATATATTTAGGGCACAAAACATACAACCTCTAGGTTGGTTTATTCTTCTAAATTAATACTATTAAAGGATGTCATCTTAAAATAGGTTTTTTTTAAAAAAAATATTCAGGGCGTAGGATAAAGTTATTTGTTAAGAAACAAGAATGAGTAGACTTTCAGAAATTTCATTTAATATGCACTGTACCCTTTTCATTTGCAGTTCGTTCTATTGGCTCCATTGCACTTAGAAAAGCAGAAGACATTGACTTCAAGTACCACTTTGACTTTTTTAGTGTGAATTTCAATGAAGAACTTGTGGCACTGTATGGTGGAAGTCTTCAGAAGCAGACCAAGTTTGTACATGAATGCATTAAAACAATTCTCAAGCTCTATAAGGTAAGAGATAAGCATGCAAATCAATAGTGATCAACCTAGTATTATCTTTTTTTTAAGGGACTCGGCATATTTTAAATTATTTATTTGTTTATATGGAAGTTGAAGCAAAAATGACACAAAGTTTTTCTTTGTGGTAGTCTGTTGTTTTGAACTCTGGTGGTTTTTGAAGTTTAAATTGAATTTACAAGAAACCTTTCTTGTGAATTTAGGAAAAATAATTTAACTGTATATAAATTAGGTGTATAGTGTATTTCCTAAAAACCATTAGTATGGATTTCTGTTTCTAATTATGACTGTGTAACTGGTACTAGAGTAGACCACTTCCATGTCTAAACAACTATAAAACTAGTCTAGATATGTGAAGCACATGTTTTCAGGTATTGGACAATCAAGCAGCAAAGGATTGATTTCTGAAAGAAGGATAGCATGTGAGGTGAACTCTGTGATTGCCCTAGCTTTCTTCTGCCTAGAAGCACTTGCTAGACCATAACACAAGTAGGTGGAGATCAAGCAGAGCACTGATATCACTTAGCTGAAAAAGGCAGAAATTGGAATTTAGGGCTGCTAAAATTGGCTAGATTTGTGATCAGGATATGCAAAAGAATAGAACTTGACAGAGATGGGAGCTCTAGAAATTTACGTTTTTCAATCTTTGAATGTTATGCTGCATATGCAAAGGACAAGAAATACAAGGCAATGGCATTCCAAGAAGAAAGTGATGGGGTGTGTCCACTTTAGGTGCAAGGAATAATGGGGAATAGTGTCTTTAGAGAAATTTAAAAGAGCAGTAAAACAGACTAGAAATCATTCTGTGCCAGCAATTCTGAACAGTGTCAGGGATAAAATACTGCTACCTAGTGGTTTGAGACATTTCCTTGGTATGCCACAGTACAAGTTCTGGCAAAAAAACAACTTCCGGGGAATTGTGACTACATGGTGCCTGGAAATAGGAGTTCTGACCAACTAGAGCAGAAAGACCTATTCAAGCGAGACACCAGAAAGGACATGATTTAGGAATAGGACTACTACAGCCCTAAAGAGCTACTCCAGTGTCCACCTTAACAATTCTTAAATATAAGCCTCAAAAATATAAAAGGTAAGGATTTACAGTAAAAGATGCACATAATAAGGGAAAAGATGGGAAATCTTAGCAGAGACATAGAACTAAAAAAAAAAAGAACGAAAAGGAAAATTTAGAACTGAAACAGTACATATAAGAAAATGAAAAATTCAGAAGATAGGCTTTAAGCAAAATGAACAATATAGAAAAAAAGATCATTGAATTGAAGAAAAGACAATAAAAACTATTCTAAATGAAGCACAGAGGATAAAAGGATGAAAAGGACAGAGCCTCAGTAACCTGTGGGATAGTACTAAACAGTCTTATATATGTGTAATTGAAATCTCAAGAAGAGAGAGAAATAGGAAAGAAAAAAATATTCAATGAACTGAAGGTTCAATTTCCCAATTATTAAAAATTTTAACACAAATCCGAGAGGATCCATGAATGTCAAGTTGAATAAACACATAATCACACCTACGTATATCATAATCAAATTGTTGAAAACCAAAGTAAAGAGAAAAAACCTTAAAAGCAGCCGAAGAAAATTATGTCATTGAAAAAGAAATTGAAGAAGATACAAATAAATGGAAGCGTATACTGTGCTCACAGGTAGGAAGAATCACTGTCATTCAAATGGCCATACTACCTAAAGCAATCTATAGATTCAGTGCAATCCCTATCAAAATACCAATGGCATGTAATAATCCTAAAATTTATGTGGATCCATAAAAGATCCTGAATAACCACGGCAATCTTGAGAAAGAAGAACAAAGTTGGAGGTATCACACTACCTGATATCAAACTATACAACAAGGCTACAATAATTAGAACAGCATGATAATGGCATGAAAGCAGATACATTGATCATTGGAACAGAATAGAGAGCCCAACAGAAAATAGTCTCAAATTATCTTTTATTAACTACAAAGAGAGAGTAATTTTACAGTGGAGAAATTTGTTAGACATCATCTTAACCAAGATTAACATCACCAGTAGTAAGACATATCAACATCATGAACCCCTATGACATGATGCACTGGGAAGGATACAACATAATTTTTGTGGCTTTATTACCAAAAATGTATAACTTCATTCTAATGAGAAAACTTCAAACAAACTCAAATTGAGAGACACACTAAAAAATAACTAACCAGTGCTCTGCAAATATATTAAGGTCATAAAAAACAAGGAAAGACTGAAGAATTGTTACAGATTAGAGAAGACAAAGGAAAAATAACAATAAATACGGAATGCAGGATGTAATACTAAAATAGAAAAAGTACATTAGTGGAAAAACAGGTAAAGTTTAAATTAGGTCTGCTGTTTAATACTATTGTGTCAATGTATATTTTGATAATTATAGTATAGTTGTATAAAATGCTAACATCAAGGAAAGTTGGGTCAGAAGTATATGGGAGCTCTGCCCTTTTCACAACTTTTCTCTAATTGATTCAAATTAAAAAGGTTAAAAAATTATTTTTAACAAAAATGCATTATGAGATTTATAACTTATTTAGAAGGAGAATATATAATGTGAAAAGGATGGGAAGTGGAGTAAATAGAGTTACTCCACTGTAGTAAGTAGTGGTATAATATTAATTCATGGTAGACCGATAAGGTTGCATATTTTAATTTCTAGAGTAATAACAAAAAAGGAGATATAGCTAAAGAGCAAACAGAAGAGAAGTAGTTGTAAGGAGGAAAGAACAAAAACATATGACAAATAGAAAACAAATGGTAAGTAGATAGAGTTAAATTTAACTATATCAATATTACATTAATTATAGATGGATTAAACACTGCAGTTTAAAGGAAGAGGTTGTCAGAATAGATTAAAAAAAACCAAGACCCACCACCTATATGCTAATCTGTCTATTAGAAAGCAAAAGCCACTTTAAAGATCCTGATAGATTAGAAATAAAAGAATTGAGGAAAATATATATGCCAACATGGATCATATGAAAGCTGCCATGGCTATCTTAATATCAGTTAAATAGATTCTATGAAGATAGATATTACAGGGGAAAAGAGGGACATTTCATAATGATGAGAGTCAGCTCATCAAGTAAGTGAAACAATACCAGCTGAGTATGCACTTTATAAAAGAGCTTCCAAATTCATGAAGCAGAAACTAACAGAACTAAAGAAAAAAATAGGTAAATCCAGTTAGAGAGTTCAGCAGTTCTCTCTCAATAATTGATAAAATAAATAGACATAAAATCAGTAAGGTGTAGATTTGAACACTGTTAACCAGCTTAACCTGTTGACATTTGTAGAACACTGTACCCAAAAACTATAGAAACTATGTTCTCTTTAAATGCACATGAGCCTAATATATGCCATATGCTAGGCCATAAAACAAGTCCCAGTAAATTTCAAGGGATTGAAATCATATATGGTATATTTTCTGAATATAGTAGAATTAAATTAGAAATCAACAACAAAAAGATCAGGAAAAATCTCATATTTGGAAATTACTTCTAGATAACCCAGAGATCAAAAAGAAAATTACAGGTGAAATTTGAAAATGTTTTGAACTGAATTAAAATGAAAACACACCAGAAATTTTAAGATTAGTGGTTAGAAGGAATAAATAGCCTTAAATACTTATATTAGAAATGAACAATGTTTAAAGGCAGTGATCTGGCCTTCCAACTTCAGAAACTATAGAAAGAAAAGCAAAGTAAACTCTAAATAAGGAAACAAAGATGAGAATGACAATGAATGAACTGGAAAACTAAAGAAAAAAATTAATACCAATAGCTGATTTTTTTGAAAAGATCTATAAAATTGATAAACTCGTAACTAGACTAATTAAGAAAGAAAAAGAGAGGGACACAGTTAACAATATCAGAGATGGAAGAGGAGGCATCACTAGAGAGCCTACAGATATTAAGAAAACAGTAAGAGAATATTATGAACAACTTTGTCAGTAAATTTAATGACTCAGATAAATGCAAAATCCCTTGAAACGTAAATTAGAGAACAGACACAAGAAGAAACAATCTCTGACTAGCCCTAAATCTGTTTTAAAATTTTTGAATTTATAATTAAAAATATTAACTGCCAAGAAAAATCTAAGGCCAGATAATTTCACTGATGAATTCTATTAAAAATTTAAGGAAGAAATAATACCCATCTTACACAGACCTTTTTAGAAAATGGAGGAGAGATAACAGCAATTCATTATAAGAGACCATCAAATTCTGAATATAAAAATCAGTGACATTGTTTGGAAAAAAAAAAAACCCAGAGACTTAGTATTCCTTAAGAACACAGATATAAAATCCCCAACAGAAAAGTAGGCTATCAAATCAGCAATATTTTAAAATGTAATACATTATGATCAGATAGGATTTATTCCAAGAATGCAAAGTTGGTTTAAAATCAAGTGTCAATTAATCTAATTTATCATGAGATCATCTCAATAGATGAAGAAAACTCATTTGACTGCATTCAGCATCCATTAATTAAAAATAAATAAATAAATAAAACTCAGATCTGTAAGAATACAAGTAACCTTCTTCTCCCTGAGGAATTGTATTATGAATAGTTTTATGGGAAGAAACAAGCCATATTAGGTTAAGAACCATTATGTATTGGTTAAGATAAATAAGATGTGATCACAGAGTGAGGTTCATTTGCATAAGTGTTATTCACAGTAAACAATCAAATGTTTTTAATGTTGTATAATAGGTAATTTTTTCTTTCCCCATTTTTTAGCTTCTGTCTGCTTCTACCATCTCTATTCAACATTGTACAGAAGTCCTAGCTAGTGCAATAAGGTTAGAAAAAGAAAAAGGGTAAATTAAAACTGTCTGTATTCACAAATGACATAAATATGCAGAAACTTTATTAAAGGAGTTTACAGAAAATTATTAGAATACATCAGGGAATTTGTAAGGTTACAGGATAAATGGTCAGTATTCAAAAATTAATGAACAAATGGAAAGTGAAATTTTAAAATACATTATAATAGTATAAAAATAGGATTCTTTTGGATAAATTTAATGCAAAATGTGCAAGATCTGTACACTGAGAACTTCAAACCTTGCTGAGATAAATTAAAGAAATCTGAAATAAATGGACAGACCAACTTCAGGGATTGGAACACTCAAATTAAGATGTAAGTTCTCCCCAAATTGACCAACAGATTTAATGTAATACAAATCAAAATACCAGCAGGTGTTTTGTAAAAGTTGGCAAGCCTACATACAATTGCAAAGAACCTCAAAAGCCAAATAGTCTTGAAAAAGAGCAAATTTGAAGGACCTGCACTACCTGATTTCGAGACTTAACTATGAAGCTGTTGTAATCCAGCTAGTGTGGTATTCTTTTGCATCTTGAAAATGAAATATAGAAATCAGATTCTGTGGATAAACCAACATTTTGAAGTTATTTCTAAAGCAGGTATTTTTTAACTTAAAAAAAAAAACACTGAATATTATAGGAGGAAACAAGCCATGTTAGGTATAGAACCTTTTATATATCAGATATTTATTGGATAGATAAATAAGGCATGATTACAAAGTGAGATTTCCGTAAATGTCATTCACAACAAACAATCATGTGTTTAATATTATATACTAGGTATGTTTTTCCTCTCTATTTTGTATTTTCAGATTTTTTTCTAATGACTGCATGTTAAAGTTATAATAGAACTATTAAACTTTTTTTAAGTTGAGGCTTTTAGAAAATAAGATTTTTATTACAAGCAAGTACAATAGGGATTAAAGAAAGACAACTGAATCTTGCTGAATATATAGGGTTTGGGTGTGGTAAAGTAAGAAGACATTTCAGATGGAGAAACCTCATTTATTCACATGAGTCCACATGCAAATATAGCAATGAATAAAACAAATGCAAGCCTTCATGGACCTTATGTTCTAGTGGGGGAGGCATATAGGAAACATCAGAAATAAGAAAAATGTATACTATTTTATATGGTGATAAATGCTAAGAAAAAGAATAAAACAGAAGGAGTAGGGAGTTGAGAGTAGAGGACTACAATTATAAATAAGGGTGCCCAGTGAAGACCTCTGTTGAGAAGCAATTTAATACATATTAAAGATGTGAGAGAGTAGCTCAATTATATATCTAAGAAAAGAGTAAGCAGGGAAAAATATATAAGACAAGCGCACACGTGCTGTATTTGAAGAAAAGGAGACTGGTATGGCTTGAGCAGATAGAATGAGTTGGTAAAAGAAGTTGGGGAGAAGGCAGATTATAGAGCCTTGTAGGCAATTTTAAGAATTTTGCCTTTTATTTGAAATGACATGGAAAGCCATTGTAGAGGTTTTTGAACAAAGGAATGACATGTTCTGATTTATTGGGTTTGAACAGTATTATTCTGGATGCTTCTGAGAATAAGCTGAAAGGATATAAGGATGCAGCAGGGAGACCAGTTAGGATGCAGTCGCAGTGATTCAGGCAAGAAATAAAGATAGTTTGGATCAAGTTGGTAGCAGTAGAGATGATACGAAATGGTCAGATCGGTGTAAATCTTAAAGGTTGAGGCAACAAGATTTGCTGGCAGATCAGATATTGAGGGACCTTGTGAGAGAAAAGGAAGAGTTAAGGTTGACCTCGAATTTTTTTGGCTGAAGAGCTAGAAGGATTACAGTGCCATTAACTGAGGTGGGAGAAAATGGAGGAAGAACAGATTTGAAGGAGATTGTTTATTTTTAGACTGTTCGTTTTGGGATGCACATTAGAAATCCCAAGTGTAGCTAGTATGCCGTTGGAGTTTAGAGTTCAAGAGAAGAGGTCCAGTCTGGAGATAATAACTTGAGGGTTGACAGCTTATTGATGTATTTAAAACTGTGAGACTAGATGAGATCACTAATGGAGTCAAGATAGGAAAAAGAAGAGATCTAAAGATTGAGACCTCAGTCACACCATTATTATGAAATGAAAGGAGATGAGAAGGAACTAAAAAGGAGCAGCCTGTGAGGTAAGAGGAGAACCAGGAGAGGGTGTTGTCAAGGAAACCAAGTAAAGCATTTCAAAGAGGAGGAAGTGATCAACCATGTCAAATACTGTTGGTAGGTCAAGTAAGATGAGACTTGAGAATTGGCTATTAGATTCCTTGCGGCTTGATAAAAGCAGTTTTGGGAGAGCGTTGGGATAAAAGCCTGACTGGAATGGGTTTAAGAGAATGGAAGTTGAGAAATTGGAGATAGCAAGGTACTGTATAGATAACTTTTTGAAGAGTTTTTACTGTGAAGAGATGTAGAAAAATGTGTGGTCACTAAGAGTAAAGTGGGAGTAAAAAGGGAACTAACTGTCTATTTTCTACGGGAGAATAACAGTATATTTATATACTAGTAAGAGTATTTTTTTTTTTAAAGAGTGGTTTAATAGAGAGGGAGAAACAGTGATGCAAGAAGAAAGAAGAATTGCTGGAGTGATGTACTTGAGAAGGCCAAAGGGGATATCTTTCAGAGAGCATATGTAGTATTTGGATCACCAAGACCATCCCCAGGCTCTGTGATTCTCCAGGAGGATTCACAGGACTCAGCATATATTTGTACTCCTGTTGTGGTTTATTACCATGAAAGAATACAAAGCGACATGGACAAATAGAAAAAGTGCATGGATTAAAGTTTGGAGGAGACACAGGTGCAAGCTTCCAAAAGTCTTCTTGCAAGGGAGTCACACAGGCTGCGTTTAATTCTTACAGCAACAAGTTGTGACATGTGTAATGTCACAAGAACAGCTCATCAGAGACTCAGTGCCCAAGGTTTTTATTGGGGCCTGGTTATGTAGACACTCTGTGCCTAGCACCCACCAGAATCCCAACCAGAAGGACAGCAGGTGTTCAGCATAAAGCATATTGTTTTCACAGTTTCAGCACAGTGAGCCATCTTTAGCATTTAGAGAATGATGGGAACCCTCCCAAAATCTATGGTCCCAGATTGCAGACCAGAACCAACCTTAAATGCAGTCAGTTTTAAGGATAGCAGTTTCAGGCTTACTGTTAACTTTTCTTCACAAGGTCCAATTTGTTCAGAGTAGTAGGAGAGAGGTCATAGATGAAGGATCACTAAGAAGCAATAAGCAAAAGTGTGGCAGTGGACCTGAGGATACTATGTGGAGACAAAAGATTTTTTTTAATGTGATACTTATTTTAAAAAAATACATAATTGTCAGTGAATAAATTTTATGGAATGCTAGTTTATTTTTAAACTCATGTGCACAATAGGAAAATAATTCAATGAAATAAGATATGTTAATATGATAAGGTAGTATATTGCTGTGGCACCCATTATTCTGGCTTTTTGTGATATTTCCAATTTTAAATAAGTGATCTGACTTCTGATATCCTATCAAATCTAATATTCTGATATACACAAAATATAATTACACCTCTTACATCCAATATAACTAATGGTAAAACATCATTTGCTGGACCCAATTTTTCTAATTTTGGTTTAGAAAACCAAAGTATAGCTGTTAAAAATGTTTGACAGAACACCAAATAGTATGTATACACTATTTACAAGTACATGAAAACATATTTCTGTATCTTATGATAGGAGATTATATAGTGTAATTTTCCTTTTTCTTTAAAATTGCTTATATTTAGAGAGTAGTATTTAGTATTATATTATGGTACTAAGTGTTTATTATATCTTAGTGATTTTTTGTTTAATAGGGTCAAGAATTTGCTCCAAAAAGTGTGGCGATAATTGGTCATTCTATGGGTGGCCTTGTTGCAAGGGCATTGCTTACACTGAAGAATTTTAAACAAGATCTGATAAATCTTCTAATTACACAAGCCACCCCACATGTTGCTCCTGTGATGCCATTAGATCGTTTCATTACAGGTGAGTACTGTTAAATAAACACTGACTGACCTCCCCATTGTTGTTTAGGATTAAACAAATCCTCCAGCTACTCTCTTTAGGGTAGGCTACAGATTAATCCAGGTGCGAAGCAGCTCAGTTTCAAATCAGCACCTCCAGTTCTGAGTATCTCTCTCTGTGACTTTCAACTGAGGCTCATAATTCAAACTGCTGTTAGTTTTCTCTGTCTTTAGCATCTTAACATCTATGGCGTATGTCTTATAATCCCTAGGTACTTGGGCTTCAGTATAGTTACTCTTCAGGATACTGCCTGTCTCTTAAAGTGTGCTATTCCTGTACTCTATTCAATATCAGGTCATATTTAAGTAAAGTAGTAGAAATGTCTTGTTTTTAAACAAATAAGTCTGCTAACACTTTATATGGTGAGGTAGAATTGCTAATAATTGTTGAATTCTAACTATGTTTTGGGTGTTGTGGCAAAGACTTTACATGATGTATTATGTCACTTAATCCTTATAGCAATCCTTTGAGGTATATACCATTGTTATCCCCATGTTTATGTATAGAAAAAAGAGGCTAAGATAAACTTTTCGCCCAAAGTCTTGTGGCAGGAAAATAGTGGAGCCAGTATTTGACCATGGTAAATTTGTTCCTGGGCCTGTGCTCTTAACCCTTGCATGCTTACTTAAGGTACATTGCTATAACAGAGGAAATAAAATTATGGATAATACTATAATGTTGCAGGGAATTTTAAATAAACAGTAGAAGTTTATGGTTGCTGTCATCTAATCAAATAGTGATAATGTCACATAATAAAAATTATGTGCCTGTCAAATTTTTATTAACGTCAAATATTATTTTTACTGCTTATTTTAATATATGAATAGGAGAAAATCTTAAGAAAGAAAGAATTTTTTCCTGATCAGTAAATTTACACAACTTCTTACCCTATCAAAATTTGCATTGTCTTAATTGTGATGAAAATTTTGTTTATAGTTAAGTGAGAAATATACCCTAATGACTCCAAACCAAAGTAGTTTTCCAAAGCACCCAACTTAACACTGCCAAGGAGTAACTTATTTGCTGGAATATCTGGTACAACAGTACTTACAGTGAAGTTTGATTTTTCTCTTATTAAACTTTTTCTGTAGAAATCTTTTATAAAAATTTTTAGTTTTATTATTGGAATTTAAATCTGTATTACTAATTCTAATAATTATAAATGACATAGTAGGTTTAGGAAAAAAACCAAAGCCATAGAGAAGTCATAATACTCATCACCATAATTGAGAAATCTTTCTCTTAACTACATTTTATATGACATAGGTAGATGAGCCATGTAGGTTAAATTGGAATTACTTAAAATACATTTAAAAAAATTCTTTGAGGAAAACTTTGAAGAGCAGTGGTGTGTCTCCAAAAGGCTCAGGCTGAAAGTGATTCTTAGCGTCAAGGTGTTTTTATTATACTTAGCAAGCCTCTTTCCCATTTATTCTGTATTTATTTTTTATTGCATTAAGCCAGAATTAGAATGAAAAAACAAAAGTTCAAGAAATGTTAGATCTTAGGTTTTTAGGAGACTCATACGCTCTCTAGAAATAGATTCTCAGTCTATAATTCGTGGAAATACTGCCCTTAACTGGAGGGAAAGGAAGCCCTGCATCAAGCTCTGCATTTTAGAGGGCCCTGCTCAGGTGCTGCCATTCCTCACAGGGTCAGAGTGCATAGGCCAAGCAGCCTTTCCACTGGAGGCTGTGCCTTTACTTCTAGACCTCTTCCAGGTAGCCAAGCCCCTAGACTTTTCATGCCAATATGCCCCAAGCCCTCTTCCAGGGCCCATGTGGGCCTCTTACCTGGATCCGTTCTGAGGGCAGGTCTGTATAACCCTAAGCTTGACTTGTAGCCAAGGAGTGGCTGTGCATACAGTACAGAGAGAGCTTGGATGTGTGTCAAGGCCCTTGCGATGCAGGATAGAATTGAGATGGGAAGAGAAGAAGGATAACACAGCAATGGGCCAGAGATCTGCTCACCCTATGCTGCCATATAATTCAGTGTCCAGTGCTGAGGTGTCCTACAAGTCTTTATTTGAACTTGCCCTTCCAGGTTATTTGATGATACATTTGTCGAGGTAGGCTGAGAAATATTTATTTATTTATTGGCGAGGCGACCCTTGGTTGACCTCACAGATTGCAAGGACCTTGTCCACTTACAATCCCCCCTTTTTTTTTTTTTTTTTAACACCTACAGCACCTGGTCTTCCTAGGTGGTCTCCCATCCAAGTACTAACCAGGCCTGACTCAACTTAGCTTCCGAGATCAGACGGAATCAGGCTTGTTCAGGGTAGCATGGCGGTAGTGAGAAATATTTATTTAACTGTTGTTAGCTGGAATTTTGACCTTTAAATATTTAGGCATATGGCATGCATACCACATTGGTACTCTTGTCCCAGCCCCTGCAGATGTTAGGAATGGATCTGCTTGGTCACAATCTAAGTAAATACTGCTGAGATTTTTAATGGGAGGAGTATGCTGTTCCAATATGTTTGAAGCCCTCAGTGGAATCAAATGCCAGGATAAAAATGCTTTACGTTTTGATAATCAGGAAAGAAAATGAGAACGCCCCTGTTCTGGCCTTAAATGTTTGACACCGAAATTTTCTCACTGTCTGTTAAGTGGAAACATTATCTGCAAGTTCTTGTCTTTTAACTGCTTGTTACACTAAAGGGGTAGAACCTTAAACCTCACAGGTTTTCTGTAGCTGCATAGTCCCAAGACTAATGTGAATGCCATTCTCCTCACAAATTTTAAGAACTTAAATAGTACATTGTATGGTGGTGGTTGACGGCAGAAGAGAGCTGCTAAGCCCTTATAACCAGGGACACTGGCTATTTCGGAAGCTCTGTAACTCTTTAGCATAATAAACTCTTATCTTTGGAAGAATTTTAAGATTTTTTTTCTTGCAATATTATGTGGCTTATGAGAAAGTAGCATTCATATAGAATGTAGAGACCTGTTTGCATGTGGACTTTTCAAAGCTAATAAAATTTGGGTATCTTTTTTCATTATCAATACCTTTAGTAACTTGTATATTTGTACTTTGATTAAATGGGGAAAGCAGAATGTGTGTGAAGATACTGTGTCAAAATAGAGAAATGCAAATAACTTTATAGAAAATTCAGTGGTTTAATATTAATATTATGGATATCTTATTGCAGAGAATGACTACTAATTTTTAATGTATGTCTTTTTTATTTTCTATCAGATTTTTATATGACTGTAAACAACTATTGGATTCTAAATGCTAGACACATAAATTTAACAACGCTTTCTGTAGCTGGAGGATTCCGGGATTACCAAGTTCGTTCAGGACTGACTTTTCTGCCAAAATTAAGCCATCATACCAGTGCCTTATCTGTTGTGGTAATCTCTTTTAAGATTCTACTAAAATAATATGTTAGACACAGTGGGCCATGAAAGGAGAAATAGTATGTAGCTGCTTGAAATGATTGCTGAGATTGGTGTGGTACTGCTCTGTGTGTGTGCTTGTGTGTGTGTGAGACAGAGAGAGAGAGAGACAGAGAGATGGAGAGAGGAACAGAGAGAAAATGTGAATGAAAATGAATGAACGAATGAACAAATGAATATGTTGGGAAGGCAGAGGCGTGGATGCTTATGTCTGTAGAAAGTAAAAATGGTCTTAACTTTGTGAAAATAATTCTTATTTATGAGAATTAATTGTTTCTTGTTCAAAATAAGGGCCTATCCTTTGATTAAAGTTGTAAATATAAGAAACTGTGGACTGATGTCCAAGGGCCTTTTGTTATCTGAGTGAAATGTTGTATATAGTAGTAGTGGACCATCAAACATATCACACAACTCTTGATTGATAAGTTTAAGTGACATTTTACCAATTTTAAAATAAAAAATTTAGCTTTGATAGCATAAACAGAACTCTAATGAATTAATTTGCTAATTATTCTCCTTGCTAGGACATCATATATTTGGTCTTTAACTGGGATACATAGCTTCTGTAAAGTGAGTTCAAGTTTCCTTGTAGGACTTATATTATTTCTTGTATTTTTAACCTTGAAGTCTTCAGTTGAGATCTTAACTTTTTTACTCATTATACACATCATCTTCAAATAGAACTTAATTTCTAAAAAAAATTCATAGAGTTCATTTTGCTTTTAAGAGATAGTGCTTTGTTTCATAGTTGTTCTCTTCATAGATAATCCTTTGCTCAGCTCATCTATTGCCCCACCTTAGATTGCTGTTGATTCACTAAGCAGGTATTTACTGAATGTTTGCCATATATAAAAACAAAAATTATTAAGTTATTCTGCTATTACCCACCATTTTCTTATAACTGGAGGAGTTGTGGTTTAGCCATAATAGCTTTGGAAAAAAAATACTAAATCTCTCAAACTTCATTATTGGTATGAATCTTCTTATTTGATGTGGAATATTTTAGGCACATATTTGCTGGAAGTCTTCAAAACACTAAATGTCAACTCTTTAGTAAACACAGATGTTTCAGTCATATAAAATTGGATATTATTTATTCCCTAAACTTGGTCTGAAGCATGATGCTGTATTGATACCACATCCTGCAGCTTATTTTTAAAAGAACTTTTTTTTAACCATGTGGTTGTGTGTGTGTGTGTGTGTGTGTGTGTGTGTGTGTGTATTTTTCTCTTTTCTAATCCAGTCGATAATGTATCACTTTCAAGGCAGCTTGTATTTCTTTATCTCTAATGAAAATATTTTACTTAAAAGCTAGTTATTATATAACCTGAGTTTTTAGTTTTTTGTCCCCAAATAGTCTAGGGTCTTTCACATTTTAAAGTATGTTCACTTTTTAAAAAACAGTTATGAAAAAGTAATAATTTTTTAATTATCTCAAGAACATTTCAGTGACATTTACATCTATTGGGACTAGAAAAATTGCTTAAGTTAGCACAGTTATTTAGTAGGGTAGGCTAAACTGTTCTAATATACATTCATGCAGGTAATGGCATTTAAACACAATAGAAGTTTACATTTTACTCATATAACTGCTCGAGATATATATTTAAGTTGGTGGGTGGTTTTTTGAAGTAGTCCCATTAAGGGACCCAGGCTGACAGTAGGCACCCCCTTCTTGAATGCTTTACTTCTGAGGTTGCTCTAATCATCACTATTTCAACCCACAGGAAGGGGGAAGAGGAGCAGTCAGGCCTGGAAATGGCACACATCACTCCTGCTCACATACTATTGGAGAAAAATTAGTCACACCTTAAAGTAAGAGAAGCTAAGACATGTAGTCTAGCCAAGTGTGCAAGAAGGGGAAATGGTTTTTGGTGGACATTCAACAGTTTTCACCAAAGATCATGAGCAGCTACCTTTATTGTGTTGTCTTTACCTTTTTCAACTCTAGCACTGATGCATTCATTAGCCTGAATGAAAGTAAACCCATTTTATGTTCTTGGTAATGGTAAGTGCTATCAACTGTGAGTTCTTATTTGACTGAGCATCTAATAATCTTAGAACCACAGTGAATTCTGGTTGTCTCAATTTTTTAAGTAAGCTGCAAACAGGAATTCCTAAATAAGATATTTAATGCTTATAAGTTCAACAAGTAAACTAAAGATTCTTCCCACTTTAGAGCCTTGATTGAAGAGTGCTCTGTCATTGTTAGGAAGCCTTCTACAAAGTTATATTTTTTAGGAGCCTTTGCCCTTATGTCTAACCAGTATTATATGTCCCAGTCATCTAGGGATTTTCTTTAAAATAAGTAAGCCTGGACCCCACTTGTAAGAGTCTGATTTGGTAGTTTTGGAATTGTGATCAGGCACATTTCTTTTGGATAATTTCCCAAGGCTTAGGTATTTCTCAGTCACACTCTGATTAAGAAGTAATGTCTTAGAACTTATCAAGTGGTAGTCTAGTCAGAACTAAAATTATTAAAATATATATTGTTATTTGTTCACAAACTGTGATTTATTAAAGAATCATAAACTCAGCCTTTTATTTGAATAATAGAGTTAGACATTAAACTTCAGTAAGGATTTTGTGGATGCTTTAATAATTTTTAAGTTTTAATGATTTTTAAAATGTGATTAAGCACTAATGGCAGAATTATTTTGTGCAGAAATATCTTAATATTTTGGGATCACCTTTTATAGAATGCATCATTTAAAAATGTCTATACATCATAAAATAGTGAAATTAATGCTACATGGTTCTAAATATTAGCTTGTAAGAATTTCAAACCTTTTGGAGAATAACAAATATGCTATTCTTAACTTTGATTTATTTTTTCTTTCCTTTTAGAGTTCAGCGGTGCCTAAGACCTGGGTCTCAACAGACCACCTCTCCATCGTGTGGTAACTTAATATAACTTACTTTGGTGATTTGTGATGGTCCTTTTTTCTCATCAGTGCATTGATTGGCTTGTTAGCTTTCTGAGAGCTCTGGCCATAAATAAGGATTTAGGAGACAGATTAATTTAGGGGCTTAGAACTCTAACCTTGGTTCTTATCTCACTGTGACCAAGGTTCCCTTGACAACCCATAGAATCATCTCCTGAAGAATCAGTAGCATCAGTCTTAAGTGAAGCTAGTGTCAAATATCAAAATTTTAGAGTTTGTCATAGTTAGGCAGAATTGAAGGCACTTGTAGGATTTTTTGAGTTCTCGGCCAGTCACCAAACTCAGGAACTTGATTAATGCAGCATTGATTATTCTAGAGCAACACATGAAAAACCAAATAGGAATTAGATTTAACCTTAATATAAATAAATAGATTAAATATGGGTCAAGAAATACATAGGCATCTTATCTCTATGTGTCTTGGCTTAAAGATTCTCTTTTTCACTTTTCTCTGGCTTTGCAATCAGTGGTATCTGCAAGAACCATAATAATTCAGGCATATAAAGATGGGGCAGGCAGTATATCTATAGCTGGGATAGACAAGGAGATTTAGGGAAGATAGAAGGACCTCGACAGTTCTACTGTCAAGCATCTAAGATTTAATTTGCTTTATTTTTTATGTTTCAACTTTAAGGTAAAGCTAAATAATGATTTGTTATATAATTTTAGAGTTTGCAGCATTAACAGAAACTTAAATATTGGATTAAATAATAGAATTGTGTGTGTTTGTGTCAAAAGTATAATTTTTAAGAGTTTCATTTGTAACACATTTTATTCTTTAGGTGTAAACAATTGCAGTTGACTACAATTCGAGCATTCTTTGATCTTATTGATGCTGACACTAAACAAGTATGTATTTTTAAACTAAAAATTATTTCAGTAAAATATGAGGTTTTGTTATAGCAGTGATAGAATTAGTATGTTTCTTTTACTTTAATGTAAATAGAAGCCCACATCTTCTATTGACTAATTTCAAAATGGAAATATCTTTATTTTTCTCTGATAATACTGGGGTAGTTCTGACTTAACTGAAATTAGAAAGACCTATGGCTTTTAATTGATGTAGCTGCTTTTTTAAAAAATCAAAACTAATTTTGTATCAAACTGAGTTGATTGAAGTAATGAGTTTGTATCAGTGAAGTTAAATTCCACTTTCTCTAGTTACATAATATATAGAGAACTGTTTTCTGTTTTGTGTATCTTATTTTAAGGAGGGACATTAACAAACAAGTTTATCCAGGGAAGGTAGTCATAGTGGTAAAGGGTCTGAAACAGGCCTATGAAAAACAGTTGATGGTTTTGAAGTTTAATCTACAGAAAAAATATTTTATTTGGATGGAGATTATAACAACCTTTAATTTTTTGAAAGGCTGTCCCCAACCTATATATCAAAGCAATAGGGAGTCAGATACTTGCTCTAAAAAGGGCAGAACACTCTCCTGGTAAAACTTGTTGAAATTGAAAAGTACCAGGTTAGAAATGTTCAAGCAAATACCAGACGACTTTGTAAGAGGTTGAAAAGATTTAGTAGACCTGAGTCCTCACTGTCATTTCTTTATCATTCTCTTACTGTGTTGTCATTGAGAAAATCAGTTCCCTTTCAGGGGTTCAGTGCTTAAGCTAGAGAACTGAATAGTGGTAGTTTCTAAATGAATTTTATAACCCAGTACATTTTTTTTTAAAGAGAAGAACAGATACAAAGTTGCCAACATTTATTGAGCTAAGATATTTGAAAACACAGCAGAAAAGTGTTACTGTCTGCTTGCATTTTCATTTCATGAAAGAAAGGATATTTTGACATAGAGTAAGTAGAAAAGAGTAAAGGATTTTCCAAGGAAGGACAGTTGGCAACTCATATTTTATCTAGTGACCAGTGAATTCTTTGTTGTGAAATGGGCAATGGTCTGAGTTTGGAAACTAAGTGTATTGGAATCACTAGACCGGAGGAGCTCTTAAGTTCTCTTCTGATTCTGTATATCTTTATATGTTTTATTATCAGCTGTTACTTTAGAGGCAGTATTGCATAATGATTAAAAGCATAGGCTCTGGGGCCAGACTGCCTAAATTAAACACTGGTCCAGACTCTTAATAGGAACATAACCTCAGGCAAGTTCCTTAATTTTTCTGTGCTTTTGTTTCTTCATATTTAAAATACAGATAAGATTATTATCTCTTAGAGTTCTTGTGATGATTTAATGAGTTAAAAACATTAAAGCACTTAGAACAATTCCTGGTCCAGAGTAAGTAACTGTTAGCTCTTATCATTATTACTTGAAGCAAAGTTTCATTGAACTATCACAATGGATATGAAAGAATACAGAATGTATCAATGTTCTTTCTAGATAACTCAAAATCCCAAGAAGAAATTGTCGGTTTTGAATCACCACTTTATAAGACACCCAGCAAAACATTTTGAGGAAAATCCAGCAATAATTTCTGACTTAACAGGTTAGTGGTAATAACATGTTTTAATATTAAGTAGAGTTTATGTTATTTTTTTTTAGGTAAATTTGTTATAGCAGACAGTCTTTGAAACTGTGGTACTTCAGGTACTGTAATCCTATTTTATTGATTTCTCTATCACAGTTTCTTAGGAGGTTCTTGGTTAAGGAAGGGAAAAAGTAGAAAATTAATTTGTAAAATGTTGCTGATAAAAATTTTGTGCTGAAAATAACACAAGTACAGATATTTAAAAGCTATAGTTAAATATCTCTATTCTCCTGACAGTCACATAAAATAAGTGCTATATTATTCTTGACTTAGTTTTTCAGTATCAATCTTCTTTTGGATTAACAGCATATCTTTTGCTGGTAAATTTGCTTTTAAATATAATACATCCTTCAATTAGCTTGCCTTTGGAAAATGAACAATTATTTCCTTCGATTGATACTTCCTTAGAGTTGAAAACACCAAACAGATTTAAAATGCTTTATTTTATGTGAATGCTAGTTGGTGATGAGCACATAGAGGACATTTCACTAGATTTTCTATTTAAAAATAGCTACTGTTTAGAAATCACTTTTTTTTAAAATCCATTATGACTGAGAAGTGTTTCAGCATTTAAGATAAGAAGTTATTTATTATAAAAAAAAAAAAGCCATACAAATTATTTTTTTTACCTTAGGGACATCTATGTGGGTTCCAGTAAAAGTGTCGAAGTGGACCTATGTAGCTTACAATGTAAGTATACTTTAAAAAATTTTTTTTAGTATTCTTAAAAGTTAAAGACTGTTAAAAAAGATAACCATATAGCATTTCCCCACATTGAAACCATATCTAGTTGGTGTTCAATTTTCCAGTTTTATAACTGTCAAATTATTTGTTGTTTTTCATTTTGTTTAGGTCAGGATACAAACAAGGTCCATATAGTATTGTTGATATGTCTGTTATTCCTTTTAATCTCTAATGCTTACTTCACCAACTTTTTTTTCCCTCGCAGTTTATTTGTTGGAAAAAAAAACAAGTAGTTTGTCTTATTAAGCTTCACTGTCTTGATTTTCTGATTGCATTTCTATAGTGTCATTTGATATATTCCTTAGCCTACTCTTTTCCTGTGACTTAGTATTTGGATCTAAATGCTTGATCAGATTCTGTTTTTGTTTTGGTAGACCGTGTATCTTTTTGTGTTAGTAGGTATAGATGAATAATGCCTAGAGTCATTAATTCATTTAGGGGGATGCAAAAATGATGATAATCTAATTTGATTATTCCTTCCTCATTTCTTAACTGGAACACTATTTAGGAAGACTCATCTACTTAATTTATCAAAAATGGAACAAATCATAAAGGAAATGATAATTGCTTAGATCTTTGGATTTTATATTTACTGGTTTTCAGAATAATAAGTTGGTTCACAAACATCCTTCATCAGTGACCATAGAGGTTTTGTGTCTCCCCACCTTCAATATTATTATGAACTCTTGTATTTAAGGTTATATGTGTTTCTTTCTAAACTAAAACACTGAAATTATTCTATCTTTCATACTAAAATTAATATTAGAATTGTTCTGTCTTTGACCAGTATAAGCTGTTTCAAGTTAGGCTTCAGAATCTTTTTAATACAGCTGCTCTTTAATTGTCTTTGATAATTTTCTCACTATCTCATATGAGAAGGTATTTTAGCCCCTTTTCTGTATCTCCTGCCTTAGACCTTGAATCAGCTTTTTTCCTCTAAGGAACTCTTCCAATATTTGGGAAATGGCAAACCATAACCTGTGCACTAGAGATGTTTATGGCTAGTGGGTTAGCATTTTTAGGCCTTTTCAGTGGACAGAGCCAAGAAAGATATTTATCTTGATCATAAAGCCAAAAACCAAACCAAACAAAATAAAACACATGTATTCATACTGATACTATTAAGACAAATTCAGGACTACATGGTTTGTATCTGATGTATCTTATGTATCTTCCCAATCCTAGAATACTGGTTCTCAACAACATTAGAAATAATAGAATTAGAATAATTACCATTTGCCTTGTCTGGATTTTTAAATGATGAAAATATTCACTATCATGATAGTTTTATTGTTTTCTCTCTTTTTTTAGGAATCTGATAAAATATACTTTACATTTCCTCTTGCAAATCATAGAAAAACCTATACTCATGCCTATTGTCAGAGCACCATGCTGGTAAGATAATTTATATTTAATGTAAATTATAAGGCTAACTGTACTATAAATCTAATTAGTGGGAAAATATTTGTCTGGAATGCAGTTTTAATTGAAAAGTATTCATCAAAATGTTTCTGTAGCTGATAATATACTAGGATCTAATATGTCACTTAGTTGCTAGATACTGCCATTGGTATATATAAAGCCTTTAGAAAAGATAGTTGGCAAGCATTGTGGGCTAGGTGCTAATGAATACTAATTTTAATGGGATTACCAGAATTTGGCATCTCTCACAGAGACTAGCATCTCTCAGCTTAAAATCTGGATGGGCAGTTTATCCCAAGAGAATCTGGCCTTAAGAGTGATGGCTTAACATTTATACTCAATACTCAATTTCAAATCAAAGTATCTATATTATATTGAGAAAAACCCTTGCCAAAGTGCAAATTATGCATTTGGCTTATTAGAAGATCTCTTTACTCTAAGTAAGATCCATAGGTATTTATTAGCATAAGGTCATATGGTAAATTTTAAAAAATATTTTCAATTTTTATTATAGAAGCTTTCAAACATACAAAAGTAGAGAGAGAATACAATAAATTATACATATGCTCATGTTAACTATCACATACAGCTTTAACAGTTATCAAGGCTCTGCCATTCTCACTTCATTTTGTTCCTTCCTCACTTTTTTATTTTGACTGAAGAATTTTTTTGAAGCAATTTCCAGGCATTTTATCTTTTCATTCATAAGTAATTCAATATATTTTTCTATCAGATAAGAATTTTACACATTACCATACCACCATTATTTCATCCAAAAGAAATTTCTAATTTCTTAATCCTGTGATATCTAGTCTATGTTCAATTTTCCTCTGTTCAATTACATTTTAAGTTAGTTTATTTGAATCAGAATCCAAAGTGCTTACATTGCATTTGATTCATGGATCTTAAGTCTGTTTTATAACAGCTCTCTCTTTCTTTCCACCATGCCATTTATTTATTCAAGAAAGATTATGTGCTCTATAGAATTGCCCACATTCTGGATTTAGCTAATTATGTTCTTGTGGTATCTTTTAACATGTGATTCTTTCCCTTATGTTTTTTGTAAACTGGTAGATCTAAAATCTTGATTAGATTCAGATTAATTTTTTGTGGTAAGAATGTTTTATAACTAAAGCTGTGTGTCTTATTGGGGGTTATATACTATATGGTTGTCCCACTTTTAGTGACATAAAGATTTATCAGTGGACTTAGGTTGTGTCAGTATGAGCCATCTATTATAATGTTCCTCATCAGTCTTTTACCTAATGATTTTAGCAGCCACTGAGGCCTGTAGACAATTTTTTTGTTGTTGTTTGTTCATTTGTTTGTTTTAGAATGGTACATTTTATGATCAAGTAGCGTTTTCTTTTCTGTGTATTTCTGGCATTAGTTGGCAATTCCTAGGTGACTTTTTCCAAGATTTTTAATACAATTTTTGTATTTAGTTAGGGATGTTTACTAGATGACCTGAAATTGTTCTTTTGACATCTTCTAGGTTATATCAACACAATGTTTTAGGGTGGGCTTGAATAATACTTTATTCAATTCATCGATGAATGAATCAGAATTCCTTATGCATTGAAGTAAATAGTGTGGAATATTGGCAATTTTTATAATAAGGAGTATCTTTGAGGATAGGCTCGCTTAGTCGCTGCAAAAACCTATTACAAAAGTGGGTTAGAGCTTGAAAGGCTGTTAGATTTTCTTTGTCTAAGCTATGCAGATCTGTTTTGTTGCCTTGCTTTATAATAATATGTTACTGTTCCAAGGTAACTGATGCAGAAGTCATGCAAGTTTTGTTTTTTTTTTAGCAGTGGAGAGCAGAGAAACACTATATTGCTTTTTGTTTGTTTCCTTTCGCTTTTTTTTCTGTATTCTTGAAAAATGTCTTAAAGTTTAATTTAAGTTTCATGAGGGCAGCAACTATATCTGCCTGATTTATCCTTTTCTTTTCTCTGAGGGCATAATTCCTTGGCCGTGGAATGGACTTTATAAATATTAGTTTAATGAAAGGATTATTTTTTTTTTTCATTGTGCTATGCTAAGGAAAAATTTATATTTATGTGGCTGAGAAGTGTTTCTCATCTTCTTATGCCCTGGTAGGATTTTAGTAGTTGGATCATCAAATCTTGGGAGCATTGCTCTTACTACTTCCTTGGAGTGAAGATCATAGGTCATACTACTATTAAATGAGTGAAGCTGAATATATAATATTGTTAAAATATCACAACCATCTCTGCAGCATTCCCATGCTGTGCTGATAAAGTAATAACTAGCTTCAGCCTTGAGCCCCTGGCTCAAGGGGAACTATACCTCCTGGCATGAGATTATCAGTTATAATAAATAAAATTTAAAAATTAGAATAAATATTTTCATCAAATTTTAGAATTATTTTACTTTCTCAACAATTTTTTTTGAGATGCAAATTGAGAATTATGCTGCAATCAAAAACATTCTCAGTTGCATGGAAGTTATCTACCTGGTAATAAAATGGGAACTCAAATGATAAACTAAAAGGCTATACTTAGATTATTATTTTTAATTATTTGTCTCTGGATATTTGTTGTCATTGTTTGTATATAAGTCCACCTTTAGTTGTTCATTTTGTTAAAATGTAGGTCACTTACTGTGTAACTACCTAATTAAAATGCAGACATTGCCAAACTCAAAGTGTTGATTAAGTAATTAGAAATGCTTAGGTAATATGATGTAGAGAGAGTCCCATCAGGTCACTCTTAATGCTTAGGTAATATGATGTAGAGAGAGTCCCATCAGGTCACTCTTCTCACGTTGCTACTCTGGGTTACTTGCTTACCTATTTTATTGACATTAGACTTCTTCACTTACTCTTGATCTATCTGACTTTTTAGAATACCTTGGATATGTTCCTAAATAATAAGTTGCTATTTTTTGTTTCCATTGTGCCTACTGACCCTATCATATGACAGTAAAGTATTAAAGATTCCTGTTTTATGTAATTATTTTCTACAATATTTAGTGTGCTTTGTGTTAATCAACAGGATACAAATAGTTGGATTTTTGGCTGCATAAATAGCACTTCTATGTGGTAAGTGTTTTAAACCTTCATTGTTCCTTCTTTGTCAACATAAACAATACTCACATAACACTTTCAGAATAGCTTCATACATTTTTAAGCTCATTTTGTTGATATAGTAAATTATAGTATTGATTTTAAAGTAATAAGTAAAGGAAATTGACATACTAGTAATTTTTGTAAACATTGAAATATTTGGTTGCTAGGAAAAAATTATTTTGTTTTCAAAGGGATTGTGTGGATAGAATATATTGGATTAAGTTATTAGACTTTATTTCATTAAACTTTCTCTGATAGGTCTGTAGATGGTTTCTTTTTCCTCTGAAGCTTATTTATGATTCATAATACTTTCATATATTTGTTCTTTAATTATATTTTTACATTTATTTTATAGCCAGCAAGGGGTTGATTTATCATGGAAAGCTGAACTGCTGCCAACAATTAAGGTAAATTATGGCCTTAGAATTTTAATATTTAGGTAAAACATACTTGAGCCTATAGGCATTTTAGAATGTGCTCTTTTATTAATTCACATAGGTAATAAGCTTGAGATTTGCTAATCTATGTTTTAGAAATAGAGATATTTAATGGAAAATGACATGATTTTTTTGTTTAGAATATTTAACAAAATTAAATATTTTGTTAAAGATTTAATAATATAAAAATTAAATATTAATATTAAATATTAAATACTCTAAACAAAATTAAATTTATATGTTATAGAATCATATCAAGAGCTAGGTAAATTTTTAAAATTCAATTTGAAGGTATATTTGGAATGATCTGTCTAAATATATGATGAGTAGTATGCTCAGAATTTGTTTTGGGGAAGAGCCTACAGTAGGGAAGGGAGCATGTCAAAGAGACATGGTAATTTTCCAGATAAACTTCAACATCACTTTGTGGTCAAGCACTTTGATAACTACTTTTTCTAGTACTCCTTGGGATTTATTTAATAATTGTTAGTGATTTCCTTAAGCAACTCTGGTAAGTCAACAATTCTTTTTACAACAGGCTAATTTGCATCTCAAAAACTATTGTTGAGAAAGTAAAATAATTCTAAAATTTGATGAAAATATTTATTCCAATTTTTAAATTGTATTTATAGTAACTGATAATCTCATGCCAGGATGTATTGTTCTCAGTATTCAAATAAATCTGTACTTGAAAAATAAAATATATTTTCATAATGAATTCTAGACTCATAGACTTGAAAGTGAAGTCATCTGGTTGATCCCAGTCATCTCCCAGTGCAACTTAATTACTGTGTTGTGATTATGAATATTCACATTTATCCATATACATAGTCAACTCTGTCACACCAAAACAGAGGAACTTAAACATACTGAGAAGAATGGCGACAGAATGAATAATTGCAAGCTACTTACACTTGACTTTGGAATGGTTGCAATTATTTTTTCTGTCTTCCCAGTCAGTTTTACTTTGTGTATATTTTATGTGGCTTTGTACTTATGAAACAGATATCGTAGGGAAGTAATTTGACTAACATGAACATGTTTAAGGTCCCTCGTTGGTTTTATCCTAATCTTCTAGGCAGGAGCAAACAAAAGTATTAGTACATACTTACTGATCAATCGTTCATGAAGTATATTAATCATTTTCTTGAATATCCAATCTGGATGTACTATCCAGTCTGTAACTTAAGAGTTAGGAAAAAATAAATGATCAAAAACCTGATAAAATGTTACTTTGCTCCTATTTTTTGAAAGGTATTTCTTAACTCGTAAATTCGTATATTTTTTGATATCAAAGATTAAACAATATATTCATCTAGTTCTAGCCCCTGTGTCATTTGTTCTAAACGTAAGAAACAGCTGCCTGAACAGCAAGAGAACAAGCTATTCCAACATATTTTACGTATGTTACTTTTTATAGTTAATGCTGGAAGATATTGCTAGACAGCATTACAAGCCTACTCGAATTTATGAAGGAAAAAATGAACGAAAGGTTAGCAAATAAGGATTACAGTATTCTGCAACCTTTAAGTGTCCTCAGTTGAAGAGTATTGTAATTATTAAAAGTAAATAAACTTTCCCATTATAATGAAAATCATAATTACATATATGTTAGGCATTTATAAAAAGCACAACTTTCCCGTGAAGTTGAAGGGAAAGGAAAAATAAAAGTGAAAAGGTTTTGTGGATTTTATTCATATTTATATTGTCGCAACAAAAGTAATGTCAGTTGAGGATCATGTCACTTTTGGCATCTCTGCTTACTGCACTGTTAATAAATAGGTAAAAGCCTTTAGAAGAGCACTTGTAAATTCAGTTTTTAAATACCAATCACATGGAACTGTCCTGTTATGGGTACACTGAAGAAGTTTCTAAAAACACACACACAAAGCACAGCAGGCCAAGAATTTTGATAAGCTCAAATGGACTTAGTGCTAACAACAAACACAAAAATTAACTTTCAAAAGAAATCTTAAGTTATATGAAAAAAATTACCCAGTCACTATCTTGTCTAAATCATTCTTTAGCACTGCAGCTTTGCCTTACACACTGCAGCAGAATTTCATGGGTTTCTAACATCTAAATACTGGTGTTTTGATTTCTTCTGTGTGTGGTGCCTCAGCCTTAAAGGCATCTTACCCTTGCAGTTTTACTAAAACTGAAAAATTTCCAAACTTCATATTAATCTTACCTGTCAGCATAATGATTTGATAAATATTATTATGTTGTCAAATTTCTACTGACAACTTTGTAACTATATTGGAACTTGTCAAATTTCTACTGACAACTTTGTAACTATATTGGAACTTTATAAGGAAATGTATTTTGACATTGATACTTTAAAAGTATTCTGATACTAAAAAAAATCTTGAGAAAAAAGTTATTCTTATAAATAAATGACAAAAGCTAGAATGGACAGCTACACAGAGTATCCATGGTTCTTTCTAATTAATTTATCTTTCATACTATCTACCATCTGTTTGATTGGTCTCCTTGCCTATAGCTGTGGTTTTTGTGGCCCTTTTAAGGCCCTTTCATTTATATTAGAACATGGTCTGTTGCAGAGACTTTGCTGAGTAAATTGAGGTGAAGCCCAGTAGTTTGTTTAATAAGCACTCCCAAGTAAATCTGATCAGATTGTTAGGGGGCCACTCATTGACAGACAGTTCTTTAGTTTCACAACCTTTTTCTGGATTTGCCCACATAAGTGCATCTGAATAACATTGGAGAAAGTTAAGTACCTGCAGAAATTTCTTAATGCGTACATATTGTTACAACATATAACTACTCCCAACCCTATATGTACTTCCAGAAGAAAACTAAATTTAAAAACAGTATTTGGTGGCTTGGCTCTAAATAGACCAGTCTTCTATCTATTTATTCCTCAAAATATAGACTATAAGGATCCGGTCTTAATTTTGAGAATAGCATAGATGTTTATTTAGTGAGTTGCATTATTAGCCTTATTGTGTCTCCGTGTCATTTACTGATTAAGTTTCAGGGAATGATGTTCATATGCATCATTAGCCAACAACTCTTTACTGCCTGGGCTAGATCAGACTCTTCCATCATATTAAGCATCCATTCATTCATCAGCTATTGAGTCTGTCATATACTACCAAAAAATATATAGAAATAATACTGTAAAATTATATGAAACAAATAGATAAATTATAAAAAGAAAGAACAAATCTGGAAATAATCATGTAAAGTATATTTAGTGTTGAATGTCATTTGATTTTACAGGAATGGATACAGTTCAAAGAATATTTTTGGTAATCCATATTTATATTATTACTATGAATTTGACTTTCAGCAGGGCTATTGCCTTGAAAATCTAAACATGGACATCTTATGAAGTATTGAACATGAAGTTTGAAATCTGTTTTTTATAATTTATTGAGTAAGAAATAGTGTTTGCAATTTATTTTTATTTTAATGTGTTTTAATCTCTATATACCTTAAGAAATTAAATCAGCTTTTTACTTTCATCTTCTTTTTAGTCTCTGACATTAAGGCTTCAAGACTATCCATCTTTGTCTCATCTTGTTGTTTATGTACCATCTATTCATGGAAGTAAGGTAACAAATGGATTAAGGTTGTTATCAGAATGTTTTGGGGATACTCATGCTAAATATTTAAGTTATTTTTTGATGAATTCGTTAGCATAGGGATTATTTAAAACAATGTCCAGTTTGGCGATCCACCTAAGACTGTTAGAATCATCTACTCTAGCTTGAACTAAGCAGAATAAACCCAAGTCTCTTTCTTCCAAGTGGAAACTAGTTATACTTTAACAATCTTTCAAAATCTATTATGTGCAAGACTCTATGCCAGGAATTATAGGAGGCACACAGATAAAGACAAAAATGAACCCTGTTCTCAGAAAGCTATATACTGTTGGGTAGGGGAAGAAAAGTATATTTGGAAGCAGCAGGAAGAGTGAGAATTAAAGAGGTACCCAAAAATATATACTACAAATCAGAATATAGCAAATACATGAAAAGTGTAAAAGGGGGAGATATCTGATTGATGGAATCAAGAAAGGCTGTTTTTTTAAATTGCCTTAAACTAGTTAAGGTTTTTTATAGGTAGAATGAACATTCTAGACCTGTGCTATCCTGTATGGGAGTCAGTAGCACATGTGGCTGTTTAAATTTAAATTAGTTAAATACTCAGTTCCTGGATTGTACTAGCAACATTCAAGAAGCTAAATAATGGCATTGTTGCAGAAAGTTATAATGAACAGTGCTGTTTAAACAAAGAAATAGTGGGAGCCAAGCATGGAAGTATGAAATGTTGTGGACTATGTTTGGAAAACAATAAATAAGTTAATACTGATTTTTAAAGGATGGCCACCATGAGTAGAATAGTAATGGAAGAAAAGTCTGAAAAAGTAGCTCATGGCCATATTGTGGAGGTCCTTGATTGGAAGATTCTGGACTTTACAGAATTCAGGAGTCAGTAGGAGCTGAAAGATTTTTCACCATAGTAGCAATGGGGTCAGAGCTATTTAGGAAAATGAATTTATGGTATAAGATGGATTAGTAACAGAATAAGGGGTTGTGAGAACTTGCACTAGGGAAGTAGAAATAAAAATAAAAGGATGGTGATTTTTGAAAGAAGTTGGGGAAGGAAGAAGATGGAGGTAAAAGACCCTCTCTTCCCCTTTCCACATGTCACTCAGCAAACTTATCCTTCAAAATCTAGCCTCAGTGTTCCCCGTTTTCTTTTTCTGAACTGCTTCAGTAACTTCTTACTTGTTCCCATGCTTTTTTATAACTTTTTTGAGTAATTTATTACATTGAATTATTATTTATTTGCTGTGTCTCTATTGCCATTACCATACTGGAAATTCTTTGATAGTAAGGACCAAATAGATTTTATTCTGCCTTGCATCTTCAGCGTTTAGATACTACCTCATAAATGTTCAAATAATGTTTCTTGAATGAGAAAGTTGTTGAGAATTTTGGCCAAAATCATTAGGAAAATTTAGAAGAAAAAGGAAGAGGGAGATTTAGTTGAGAGTCATCTCAAAGATTGAGTCTCACAAGTAGCTTATAATGGATTCATTGTTTTGTTTTGCTTAGCTCAAGTGAGAGGTAATTCAACATCTTCAATACTAAAAGCTCTCTTTAAGGGTTTTTCTGTCGGGTAAGTTGGTTTTAAATGAATTGAAAGTCTTTCTCAAACTTGGAAAGGCCATCTCTGGTTATTCTCAGAAATTAATGAACTTTTCAAACAGGAGGTCTTAGCTGCTTAACAAATACATAATAAATGTGTCTTAATGCTCTTTGGAAAGAACTCTTTACACTACCGTTGAACACACTGTCTCACTAGGATGTTGAGGCCTTTCATGATTTTGGCATGTTTCTTAGAGTCTATCATCATAAAGATACATATATTTAAATAAGCAGTTTAAAATTATTTGAGTTCACTGATAATACAGTTTTCAAACTACAAATGTGGAATTATATGAGTTTTTTGGTGACAGAAAACAAAATAACTAAATCCATTAGAAATTTATGTACCTTGGATATTTCAGAGAGACCTTTGAATTCTTTTTTTCTTGGGTAAGGTTTTATTCCATAAAAAGCATAGCCAAATTTTTAAAGCTATAATTAAAATTTTATTATTTTAGATACCTCTACAAAGAGATTTAAAACTCCTCCCCCATCTCAGGCAATGTCTAACTCGAAAATACTTTGTAAAATATAATAAATCTGTTCAATAAATAACTTCTCTAATCTTTTAATAGCTGCTTTCTATAATGAGAATATATGTTCTTTGCCTTGTAAGTAAAGAGGGAAAATTAAAAGCAAAGCCCCTTAACATGTTTTTCCTTTTATTCTCTTATATGTGCACTGTACAGCCTAATAGCATTTTTCCCTCATCTGCTTTTCACTTTCAAAAACAATCAAAAATTCACCCAAGAGGCAAACACAAAAACACTGCTACAGACACAGTCCAAGGTATAGTTATTACAAAAGCTTAGGCTAGACCTTTCTGGCATTCTGCTTTCTGTGGACAGCAAACTATTTGCTAGCTATAGTTAGGTATCAGATTAATTTCTTCTTTAGCCCTTGTAGATCGAAAAAATAAAGAAACCATTCTTATTGCAGCTTAGAGCAGAGAGTTTTTTATACCTTTGTTAAAATGGTATTAGAAAAAAATGTCATTACAAAAAATTTTAATGATACAAATGTCACATTTTACATTTCTTTTTTTGGGATAGCATTTCTTTTTCTTTATTCATAGGACGTCTTTTTTCTGTTTACTATAATTGTTTAGCATTAAGTAATTTTATACAAATAACATTAGCCATCTGTAGATGGATAGCAGTATGTCTCTGAAAGTGTTTTGTAGTCTAATTAGACTGTAGATAATAAATATGGAGTTTAAAAAAAAAAGGGACAAATTTTTGTTTTGACTATGAAAGTTATTCAAATAACTCCCTAGTTCATCTTGAGTTAACTTTGGCTCTTAATGCTTGCTTTGCTCCATCCTTTAATGTCTCTCTTCTGGAAACACCTAAAACTAATTACATGAAAACTTTGTATAGATCTGTTATAGAAAGGATCCTCTGATAATTTATCTATTAAATTACACTCGTTTATCAAATTTGTTTAGTTTAGCATCTCTACTTGCCATTTTAGTATAGCCAGAGTTAGTGTGACACAGTACCTTCTCCAAAGCTGAAGGCTTTCATTTTCCACTCAAAATTCAAGTCAAGATATTTTACTATAAATTTAATTTTTTTTTCCTAATAAACAATGTTTTATATTTCAGTTTGTTGTAGATTGTGAATTCTTTAAAAAAGAGACAAGATCCATACAGCTTCCTGTAACTCATCTTTTTTCTTTTGGTAAGTATTTTGATTTTGGAAATCTTAAGAATTGCCTTCATCTTTAACAGGGCTAATTTATTTCGCAAGTTAGTTGCAATAAAGCAGAGCTATGTAATAGAAGTATTGTTCTGTATTTCAAGTGTAGTTCTTAGAGTAACCATATGGTGTGATTCACTAGTTTGATTCTTATTCAGCACTGGACCAGCAGTCATCTTCTAAGAAGTGAACTTTTGAAAGAAATTTCTCCATGATCACATACATTGGCAGGCAGTTATGTGTGTGTGTGCACATGCATGCACATGTTCATGTTCTCATGTGAATTTATACTAAATTGGCCCTTTTTATAAAAGGCTTATTATAAGGTATAAATTTCTATCCTATGAAGTTTTCAAAATTTCTCTAACTGTATCTTTCTCAATTTTTTACTGTGGTAAAATATATATAACTATACAGTCTTTTAAATTTTATTATGAAATAATTTTAGACTTATAGAGAAGTTACAGAAAGAGTACAGAGTTCCTGTATATCCATCACTCACCTTTCTATAATGTTGCCCTCTTAAACAATGCAGTTGTCAAAATTAAGAAATTAGCATTGGTACAATACTTTTAACTACAGAGCTGATTTTGTTTTCATTAGTTTTTCTACCAGTGTTCTTTTCCAGCTTCCCACACTGCATTTAGTTGCCATATCTCTTTAATCTCCTCTAATCTTTGATCTTTGATAGTTCCTCAGCCTTTCCTTGTCTTTATAATTTTGACACCTTTGAAGAGTCCTGGTCAGTTATTTTGTAGAATATCCCTCAGTTTGGATATGTATACTGCTTTCTTATGATTAGTTGAGGTTATGCATTTTAGACAAGAATATCACAGAGAAGTAATGGGTACTTCTCAGTATGTCAGAGGACATAAGATACCACTGTGTCTAATTACTGGTATTGTTAATTTTGATCACGTTAAGTGGTGTCTGCCAGGTTTTTCCACTGTAAAGTTACTTATTTTAATTAAGAAATATCTTGGGAAAGACACTTTTAAAGTAAGTATCCTATTTTTCTTCAAAAGAACCCACTAATCTTAGCATCTATCAGTTCATCTAGTCTGAAGCAATTATTACTGCTATCCTATATGTATTGGAATTCTTCCTGAGGGAAAGTTGTCTCTTCTCCCTGATTTATTTATCCAGTTTTTATTTATGTCAGTAATGGATTCATATATATTTATTTTATTTATTGGGTTATAATCCAGTACTGTTGTTAAATTTTTTTGCTTGAGTTGTTCGGCTTTCAATGTTAGAATCTCTTTTTTGGTTAGCTCTTGTGCCCTTATATGCCATTCATGAAAAAAATCTGTATTCATAGAGGAACCTTCCTTTAAGATTTTTATTCCTCTTCTGCCCCCACCCCCTTTTTTTGGTAGAAACATACTCAGAACAATACAGAAATGACAACTCTGAATCATCTAGCTCATTAAAATAAGAGATCTACCAAGAAAACATAGCATATGATTTTGATATTGGAAATATATACTTGATTTTTTAAAACGCACACATGTAACTGAAAGACATTATAAATGTTTTGTCCAGAGTTTATTGAAGGAGGATTGAATATTTAGACGTTCACCCCCACATATCAGAAGCTAGAACCTGTAAACTGTTTTGTCTTTTTACTTTAAAAATCTGTTAACACTGTTTTAACATTTTTTAAGTAATAGATGCTTTTTTTTAATGCTTTGGTGTTCTAAGCAATATAATGCTTTTAATTTAACAGGATTATCTTCAAGGAAAGTGATATTAAATACAAGTGGCCTGTTCTATAACATAGAGCTTCTGAACTTTGGACAGGTAATTATCCTACTATAACAGGGATTTGATTTTACTTTACTGTTTAGTTAAACAAACAAATAAACTTTTTTTGTTTTATTTTTGTGGTCAACCTCTGTTAGATATACCAAGCTTTTAAAATCAACGTAGTAAGCAAGTGTTCAGGAGTCAAAGGTAAGTGTATTTTCTGAAAAAATATAATGGTATTGTCATTTGAAGAATCAGTGGGTTTTCACTTGAATTTTCTTTAATATTTATGCTTCTACATATCTTATGTGAAGTAAAATTAAATGTATGATAATAGAAAAGCTGTTTATATTTCCAAAGACTTAACATAAACCCTTTCTTAATAGTAGGCATCTTCATCTCTTATAGTTTAAATATCCACATTTGAAAAATACCATCTATCTTGCTGTCTCATTATTATAATAATTCAGATGTAGCTGTTTGTTTTTACAGTTTCTTAGTACTTCTCATATGTTCTAATATCTTCTGTAAGTCTTATTATACATTATTACTTAATAATTCTCCACAATTTCTTATTATGTGGTATAACTCTTACTGATTTTTTATGAAATGGGTAATTGTATAATTAGGTATTATGGTAGCTTATATAACATTTAGTATGACATAAGGTTAGTAATATGTATTTCATTTATTTTTTCACAGAAGAAATAACTAGTATCTATAAACTTCATATTCCCTGGTCTTATGAAGATTCACTAACCATTGCACAGTAAGTATATGAAAGAATTTACCTTAAACTTTTGTGTTTTTGAATAATACATATTCTACTTTGTTTATTTAAATCAGTGAAATTATTAAAGTGCCTCTTAGTAAAATGTAGGTATCCTTTATGTAGCATTGTGCCCATAAATAATGTAATATATAGAATTCTTATTTAAATTATATATAATTTAAACCTTTATTGCTTGAAACATGAACCCTTTCCCACCCTCTGCCCCAGCTCCTATGACCTAGACAGACAACTCTGCTATGCCTAGAAGTGTCCATCCATAATAATGCGCCTGACATCTAGTTTCCTCTACATCATTGCATTATGTCGTGATGAGGATTGGCTTAGCTATGATTATTTAACAGCATTCTGTATTTGAGAATTGATATATAAGTTATCTTTTCAGGGTTCCATCTTCTACAGAAATTTCTTTGAAACTCCATATTGCTCAACCAGAAAATGACAGCAGTGTAGCATTATTAAAAATGTACACATCATCAGACTGTCAGTATGAGGTAAGCTGTATGTTTGTTTAATTTTTAAGAGTTGTAGAATAAGGTGGAAATACATTTTTATATTAGCCTAAGTTTGATGATGATGTAGAAAGCACTAAATATTAGAAATAGACATTTATATTACTCTATTCTCCATTTTGCCTGCTAGCACCACTCAGTATTTCCTTAGCTCTGAAAGTATACATCTTAATAAATAATAGAAAATAAGATAAAAACCGAGACCATAGATTAATCTTTTAAATTTGGAAGCCTAAAGTCTGGAATCCTTTATAAATTGAAGAACATGAAATCAGCTGATGTGGCTTAAATTTAGTAATCAATATGATGTATATTGGTTTCCAGTTCTAGATAAGCTTAAGGATCTTTTCACTAATCATATTAAGCTCTGTTAGTCATTAATATGTATAATTTAGTGCCTCTTGCATTTATATTACAATCACATTGATCTCTTTGTGCTAAGAGAAGGGAAATAGACTCGAGAGTAACATTGTATTTACTGTGGATTCATAAACGAAGAGTCCCTCTCTGTGTTACAGCATACCATGTTCTAAGGATTCTGGATTTAAGTGGTTGAAGTACACATTTGTGGTGACATCACAGATCGCCAGTTTATGTGAAATATCTTATTTCTACTCAGCTGGTTTAAACCAAACTTAAATATTTGACTCTTTATTAGACCTAACTTTCTTAAGGTAAACTAGGATTGGTAGGTCAATGAACAGAATCTGTTCCTACAACCAAGTTTCATTGGTCCAATGTTGTGGGTTATTTTAGATTTCATGGAATTTATTAATGGTTTGCTATATTGCTTTCTAACATTAAAGGATTTACAGAGCTGTAATAATGGTTTTTAACTTGTACCCTCATATTTCTAATATTACAGAGATAGTAAGAATTGTATTAATGTTTTGGCTCCAAATACTGCATGCTCTCAAAATGTTTACATTTTTACAGATACCTTGTAATTTTCAAAAAAGTCTATTTTTTGACAAAAAAAAGACATTTTATAACCTTCCTATGAAAGATTTATTTCCTTTCCCTAGACTTCCTAATATCAGAGAAGGTGTATTTATGTTAGACATAATTAATGATGAATTTCTCTTTGTAATATTGTTTTGGCTTAAATTTTACTAAATGTGCTGTTTATTTTGGTCTTATATCATGTGAAACCTATTTTTATAAAATTTACTCAGAAACTTAACTCTAAAGCGCTATACAGTTATAGATTTGAGAGTTTAAAGTACTAATTATATAATAGGTTGGTTAATTTGTGCTTAATTTTTAGCAAACATGAATAGCTCTAGGCTCAATCATTCAATAAATTCTTTAGCTTGCATGATTTGATAAAATATTATGTTTAATTAAATATTTAGTAAAGTGTTACCATATATATCATAACATTCATCCAATTGTCAAAGAATTAGAATATGAGAAAATATACTGAACAATAAAATTACACTCGATAGAAATTAAATGTTAGTGGTTCAGAAGATTCTTTTGAGATCTTGAATGCCTGTAGGTTTACTATTATAAAAAAATTAAGGATTATGCTTAGAGATGTACAGAAGTGCCTAATTAAATAAAAAGTCAACTAGAATTGTTTAGGGAAAATAATCTTTTTTAAATGATTGTTTTAAACTAGGTGACAGTTAAGACTTCCTTTTCACAAATACTTGGACAGGTAAGAGAGACTCCTTTTCGATTATTGCCTTATGAATAGATACTGTAAAGTAGGGGTTGAAAACTTTTTTTCTAAAGAGCTGGATAATAAATATTTTAGCAGACCACATACAGTCTCTTTCTGCCAGCACTATTATACCTGCTGCTTTCTTCTTTCTCCCACTTTAATAAGATCTAAAAACCATTGTTGGCACACAGGCCATAGTTGGCCAACCTGGCTTTAAGGGGATGCTTTCACGTTTGATTCTTCCTAGAAATGAGAGCTGATTCTGAAACAAATTAATATTTTTGACTAAATGAATGGCATATTAAGATTTCATGTTGCTCATACTACACTATAATTATAGTCCAATAAAATCTGTAGGTTCTGTCATATAAATTAACATTTTCAGAAAAACTTTATTTTGTGCATACTCAAGTTTATAAAAGGTAAAATTAATCGTATTAAAAACAAACATGTTGAAATAGTTTAAATTTATTTGAGGAATATCTATAATTCATAGGTAAATAGTGTTACAAAAATTTATCAAGTAGAAACATTATATTATTAAACATAATTATAATTTTCAGAATTGTACAACCAGGACATAGATAATATTGATTAGTCAGAGAAATTATATAGTTTTAAAAGTCACTAAATATTGTGCCTGTATTATTTTTACTTTATTTTTTTAAATTTGCAATTCTAGTGTAGCATATTTCTAATTTGTCATTTAAATCTATAATTACAATAAAATTCACAAAATTAAATTAGAAACTCTTTTATATGCATTATCTCATTTGATCCTCACAATGACTTGATGAAAACTAGATTGTGATTATTAAATTTATGAACATTAGTAAATTCTAATTTAATGTGTAAAAATTTTGCACTACATTAGAAAGAAGATTAAATCTTAGTACAAGTTGAAAAATAACATCATGGAGAGTAAAGTGATAAGGCATCAATTATCAAGAAAAATTACCTCTTGGAATATAGGGGAGGAATTCTTGCTATTGTATTTTTATATATACAGAAGGATGGTATTATACATAGTGGTATGAGCTGAAGATATAACGTACTCTCATATCATACCTATGCCTCATAATTCAGATTAATGACAGAAATCTGGTTCACTTGATACTCTATAGTCAAGTATAATTTTATTTTTAATTTTATTTTTTTAATTCTATATATTTTGTTTAATAAGTTTATTAGAGTAACATTTGTTAATACAGTTATATAATTTTCAGGTGTACATTATAATTTGACATCTAAAGTACAATTACCACCCAAAGTACAGTTTCCTTCAGCTACCATATATTTGATCCCTTTTACTCACTTCACCCTACCCCTACCTCTCTGTATTTGCCCCACTTACCCCAACTACCTCCCCCTTCCTCCCCCACCCCCTACCCTCTGGTAACCACTAGTCCATTGTCCATGTCCATGAGTCTCTGTTCGTTTGTCCTGTTCATTTCTTGCTTTTAGGTTTTTATCCCACATATAAGTGATATGTGATTTTCAACTTTTTCTGTCTGGCTTATTTCGCTTAGCATGATTATCTCGAGATCCATCCATGTTGTCACAAATGGCAGTATTTCATCTCTTCTTATGGCTGAGTAATATCCCACTGTATATATGTACCACAGCAGGACACTTAGGTTGCTTCCATGTCCTGGCCACTGTGAATAATGCTGCTATGGACATTGGTGTGCAAATATCTTTTCGGATATGGGTTTTCAAGTCTTTGGGGTAAATACCCAGTAGAGGGATTGCTGGATCATATGGTATATCAATTCTTAGTTTTTTGAGGAACCTCCATACTGTTTTCCATAGTGGCTGTACCAATTTGCAATCCTACCAACAGTGCAAGAGGGTTCCCTTTCTCCACATTCTCTCCAACATGTG